AGTGATACATAATAAATTTGTATTAGAATGCTAATTTTTATTGGATAAAAAATATTTAGAAGAGTTCATATTATACAAAGAATATAGAAGATCTGATTTTGTTGACTATGATCTGTTATGTAAATTAAGATTTAACCATTGGTTCTTAGGCACCTCTACTTATTTCCTAATTTTATTTTGTATATTATGTATATTTGACAAATTGATGTGGTTAAGTGTTCACATAAAAATATTATTTAGCAAGATGGTAACATTGATAATAGAAATGTAAAAGATTTTTTTATTATATTTTAGGAGTGAATGAAAAATAAGAATCTTCAGATTCATTCCCTCAATTTTTTTGAGCAATTGTTAATCACCAGAATAAATACTGTGTATTTCAGCTTTCGATAATAATAATTTTATTTTGTTACCAATGAATGGTTCTAGTAAATGATAAATATTAAAAATTTTATTTTTTACATTTGAAGCAAGACATACAAAAACAAAAGACAGTTATCATAATATTATTAAATTTCGCGTTATTACGCGTTGAGTTTATTACTTCGGGATTAAGAATGATTGTGAGTATAAACAATTGTTATTACACTATTAGAAATTCTTGTTAGAAGTCTTGAATCATGGGATGGATAGAATCAAGACGTCTAAAAACCTTACCTTCTGTAATTATCATTAGTGACAAAGAGTATTGAACTAGTGTTAATAAAGTTATTGTTTGAACTATTTTCTACAATGTTTATTTGTGTAAACTGGTATATACTTTTATCTAAATATTTATTAGATATCATTTGATAAAGTAGGTAGAATAGGTTAACTGAAAGTTTGGAATAACAGAGAGATGTTGGTTGATAATATTAAAACTGAATAAGATTAAACCAAAGTAATTAAGTGGCAACCACAATCCGACTTAACTTTCATGTTAGTAATCTGAATGCGAGTTTGTGTTAGTTACCTCTTAACGGCTTTATGTCATTTTGCATAAATATAGTATGAAACATTGAGAAAGATATAGGTTGGATAGGACATTTTTATTTCAGTTAATTAATATGTTACGGTCACGAGGACGAAGTCAAGGGCACGACTAATTTGTAATTTGCTGTTCCAGATATTAGCATTCAAATTGACTAGTTTAAAATTAATAACTTTATGGGTAAAGACATAATATTACAGTAATGATTATTTCATAAATGCTTAAAATTGACCTTAAATTAAATATAACTATAGTTTAAAAGTATATTTCATGAATAATTAGAAGTTATAACATATATCGTTGAATTGATTGAATTGTGTAAGCAAATATTGCAATTTTGAGAGATTTATTCAAAGAAATGTTAATATAACCTAAATTATATTTTGCAAGATAACATTTCTATGCATATTAAAAATGATGATAATTTAACGCTCGTTGGTTCAAGAATATCAAATTAGAAAGCCAACCCGTATCTCTGATTTTTTAAATTTTACTTTGGATTATTTAAAAATTATTGTCATTTACTTTGCAGAAGGCTAGAAAGTCCCTAGGGCCATTAGTAATTCAAAATTCTTCTGCATCTTGATATATCTTAGAGTATTAATGACTTTCTTGATTTACGGGAAAAATCTATATATTCATTGACATTAAGTAGCGTCACAACATGTTCAATAGTAATATAGGGAGCATGATACTACGTGTATTATGATGAATGTATTGTTTACTAGTAGAATTACTAAGACATGACGAAACCATTGGTGAATCCTAGATTGAATAATTGGTTTCTATGAAATTTGAAATATAGCCAAATAAAAATTATTATTATTTGCATGCTATTAAATATAGCGAAACATATTGAATATAAAAAAAAAAAAAAACTGTAACATCATATTATGTAACTATGTTTCCGGCAAATAAATTATTATTATTATTAGGATTTTTATTCTCAGTAATATATCCTTTTAGTGAACATTACAATTTCGCAAAGCTTTTTTGTTTTAACTACATGATATAATAAGTATAACTTATATAATAAATTTATTTCACAAAAAATCATGTTAGGTACGGACGGAATAACGGATTTTCAAGTGCTCCGTTTGAAGTTATCGCGCGCAGTTTTCTTTGAGTAAGATTAAATTTTGAAAGATATGCGTGTGGTTTATGTCGAGATGTTAATTACAGAGGCGTCGTTGATGAATTATCCAGATTAATACATGAGACGGTCTGGCGGCATCCAGGTCGCATGTGCGTGCCCACTACGGACCATTGCGGACGCTCTCAATGAGTTCTGTTCTGTATCATCTGACCAACATCTATGCCTGAAGATATACATTAAAGTTAAATGTGTTTAGATAAATAGCAAAACGTCCAAATAGGTTATTGAAATATACTGGGTATGGTTTTTGTATTTCTTCTCATAGATATTAAAACCAGATGTATTATCAATAGATATACCTGTCTGAAAAATATGCGATAAAAGAGGAGATAAGATAATATGAAAGTTAATAAATGATTTCACAGAAATTTTTAAGCGATGTCGAAATTCTATCTCGAATTTAAGTGCTGGTGCTCAATTAAAGCAAATATTGCAACACTATTTGGCAGTTTAATACAAGATTTTGTTACTTTATATGTGTACATGTCCATAATAATACAGTAGGTACATAATACTTAGTAGCTCATTTGATTCTATATAATTGTCATGCCAGATGTTTAACCTTGGAGCACACAATCATGTTTATAGAGAAACTAAGAAATGTGTTATTCTGAGGCTCCGACGAATAATAATCTGAAGATATAACCATAAAAAGTATCTAATGCGATAATTTTCAAAAAATGCCTTTTTTAGTAAACTCTGCATGCATCTGTAAGTAGCAAAAAGGTTTTCATCTGAATACAGCATTAAGCTCTCAGCGCAGTAATAATTGTGGCCATTCTGCATGTATATTATTACTCTAACAGTATACTTGTTAAGGTTTTAAAGTACTAGTCACGAATGACCGTAATGAATAAGAAGAGCAGGTAATATTTTAAAACAACTATTTTATTTCGGCGGCACCTTAAACTTTATTACAGGTGGACAACTTATTGTGTTTTCTGTCCCTCTTCATTGTTATCTATACATATAATAAAATTGTAGAGGTCGAATGTCTGTACAAAGCAACAAACCACTAAAACCGAGTCAAGGGGATGTTAGAAGTGCAATAGAATAAATACATCGAGATTTCATTTTTTTTTTGTTTCTTTGTCTGTCTATTTGTACGGGCTAAGCTCCAAAACTGTTGGATCGATTTAAATGAAATTTTGCAAGGTATCACCTTACATTCCCAGTCAACATTTTAGATACTTTTAACTTATTAATCACGGAAAATGAAGGAGTTCCCGTGAGATACATAAAAAAATTATACTAACTTATACAGCTTAATACACAACCTACTTAAGTAAACTAATTTTGACCTAAGTCAGAGTGAGAACGACATGTTATTTGTTAATTTTGTTTCAGTATTCCCAGACATAGTTAACTACAATAAGGAGGTTAAAAATGTTAATCGAAGGAATAACAAATACCACGTGGACAAAGTCGCAGGCATTAGCCAGTCTTAAATAAAGAAATAATTAACACAAGGAAGTTACACTGCTTTGTAAAAAGCTATAGTAATAAAACTGTTTGTTTTATTAAGAACAGCTGCTCATAACATTTCTTACGGTAACACTTTTGAGTTTGAGTATAAAAATACACCCCTCTCGCCTATAGATATCTACCTATCCACTTTTGCGCCGCATTAAAGCTCAAGTGAGATTTATTTTGAATTTATAAAATTATTTATAATATTGCCTACTTCATTATTTTGTACAATCTTTGCAGAAGCTGTCACCAAGATTTACTCTCTGATTTTGACATGTCATAGCCGAGCGTTTGTTGGTTTAAATAAACTGGGGATTTTTTATTTATTTAATCTCAACTCTCTTTATTGGTATTTTGGTCTTATTTACGATATGATTGTAAATTTGTATTACGGTAAACGGTAATATTATTTACTTGATTTTCATGAATATTTGATGAATAATCGATATTGATTCTCTGATAATGACTGAGCAAAAATTTTGTTTATAACTGTAAGAAAATAACTTATTTATCCAGCAAGCAGCAGCTTTAGTTTTGATTTTTTTTAATCCTTACTAACATCTATTATTAATGTCATAATTAAATTATTTTACAAAAAGAAACGATTTTAATTATGGCAAAATCAGTTATTTTGATTAAAAACTAAAGTACTAAACCAATTTTGATAAAAAAATTAAGGGATTCAGTATCTGTAAGTATATCCTTTTAAATAAAAGATAATTTTTGAATCGGTTTACAACTGACGGAGTTATAAGATAACAAGCATTTAAAAACATTTAACCGAACTGAGAACTTTTTTCTTTTTAAATGCTAAATCAATTATTATGAAATTTGGTATACACGTACTATATGGGATAGAGAGGAATAGTAATAATAATGGTGAGGAAAGTCTACGACTAGTCTTTACTATTATTAGTCTTTAAAAAAATTCAAATTATGTAGGTAAGTCAAAGGTTTTATTCAAATGCACACCACATCGAAAATTAAATTCATTTAATATGTATGCGATATTATTGCAAGTTGTAAATTGTAAATCTATTATGATAAATTTCTTTATAATCGAAAGGGTAGAACTAGAAATGTATTTTGTATAAAATATATTTCCTATATATATATGGTTTACGAAATTATTAGGATCATACAAAAAGGTATTACCTGATTTTCTTAATCTACTTAATATTTTTAGCTATACTATATACATACCTAGAGTCTACAGATCTAGAATTTACACATGTGCCCATTTCGTAGTTTTAAATTCTGCTTTAATATTATCATTATTAAATATGATAAAAAAAAAATCCAATTTTCAAACTTAAATTGTATGTAAATAATTTAACATAATATTTTTAAAAGGTCTTAGATATATAATAAGAGTTTAATAGAAACAAATTACATATTACTTACTTGAAGATGATGTTTAACTACTTCGATGGGATAAAATTGCTCCAACAAAAAGTGACCAGGTGAACGTAAATCACATGTCATTCACTGCACTGAACCAGACACTGGAGTCACAAAGTTACGATAGACCTAAGTTCGTTATCAGAGCGCGAGAAGACGTGCGATCGATCCCACTGCAGGAATGTTTTGATAAGGGCGGGTGTTCGTGTGTTGGAAGCTGAAAAGACGTCGGGCACGGCGCCGCGGTGGCAATACGAGGAGCGAAGGCTACGGTGCGCGCAGCGCGACTGACGCACTCGCCTGAGCAGATTCTGTTCACGATCGCCGCACCACTGTCGGTCGGGTTGCCCATTCTCTACTACAAATACAATACCCGAGTATGATAACCCAAACTGCATGCATACGACAAGTGCATCCATTCATTCCATCTGTTTCGCTCCCCCGAAATAACGATTCGTGTTGTGGTTTGCAATTGTCTAGAGCAGCGATGCTTAAAATTTTGAGGAGGTAATTTGTAAAGCCCTTCTTTTAGTATTTATTTTCCATTCAATGTTAATTATAAAGAAATTATAATTAAACGCATTTACTTTGGACTGTGTAAAAGATATATAGCTTGAGGGGGAGTGAATACTAAAATGACTGCAAATAGAGTGGAAAACACATTATGTCGACCCCAAATGGTTGAGATAAGGGCAGGAAGATGATGACGAACTTGTTCATGAGTATGATCGGTAATATCTTTTTTCTTTACACAAATTGCATTGATTATAAATGCGTAGGTACCTACTAAGTTTTTGGGTGTTCATAAGCATGTTTATGAAATTTATTTGTATTAAATATAGGAAAATGTATGAAATCTTGCTTGATTATTTTTATTGCAGTCGACAGGATACGACAGTGCAATTGCTGGGTATGAATGTATCACATCATAGTCCTCAGGAATGGCAACACAGTAGGTATACTCAATTGTATCCAAAATCTAGGGAACTTAGATTATATTAATGTTATAAAAATTAATACAAATGATATGGACAGAGTTTGGAGTACACAGTTCGTTTTACTTTTGGTTAAGCTAAAAAAATTCTATAATTGTTATTAATATTGATAGACTGGCGATAAATAAAATAAAGTACATACGAGTATTTTTTTCTATTACTACTATATATACTACGTGGTATGTACAATACAAAACTTTATACAACGTGACTACGTACAGCAATTTATTGTTGTATTTCTATATAATCCAGCATGACTGTACTTTATGAAGAGCTAGATATTGTAAGTCTGATGTTATAGATATTGTAAGACCTACAACAAAACCTAGTTAAGTATGTATTTAGAGTGCTTCACGGAAAACTGATTACCTATTCAATAATCTAATAGACTTGTTGTCGTAAACAACAAACTGAAACGTAAACCAAGTTCGAGACTGCGCAGACTCTAGTTTTTAGTACTTACAAGTACTGTATGCGTCTATTTTACGGACAAAGTTAGTAGGAAAAATAATTATTAAAACATTAATAGCGGTGATTTTATAGAAAATTGATAAAATGAAATATATATGTATATAATAAACATTTTTTCATTCATGAAATATATTATTTCATTAATTGTGTTATTTAAAAACTTTTCGTAATATTGTTTGATTAAATCATAATGGACAAAATTCAATGATTTCCTGTAATATTGTTTATTATAAATCAGTTATTTAAAATATACTTTTTACAAGAGAATACAGAGTTAAGAGACGAGAGTAGGCACTGTTTTTGTTTTGGTACTGTGTTTTAGACTTAGTTGTTAAAATAAAATGTTGTTGGAGATGATCTCTAAATTCTGCAGGTTATTTTTTACTGCAATTAAATCTCGAATATATAGAGTCATGTTAATAATAGATGTTTATGTTTAGGACTCCTTTATTTCGTACGTTCATGTTTATTGCCTGGAATGAGCAATTCTAACCACAATTTGCGCCATTCCTGAAATTTTATAAATATCCATCCATCTGCTATAGTCATTCAAAAACAAGTTGTAACTCATTAATTTAATTCAATAATCCTTTATTTGTGCTCGATAAAGATTGTACATATTAGCATTAGTAATACAAGACTGCTACTGTATATTTGCCTCGAGCGGCGATTCGTTAAAGCAAGTCAATATAATTTGTAGTATGGTATGTTGTTACGATAAAATAATGTTGTTGTGAAACCACTACATTTACTGGTTTGAAGGTGAAACGAAATTCTCTTATCGTAAGTAAATCTGAACCAATATCTTAACAGTTATCAGACGTGGAGTTTACCGGTGTTTTTGTAAATTAACTTTGTTATTTAACATTGTGTTAATTACCTATATACTTTTCAGATTGTCAGGTTGTTTGAACGGGTTCATATTAAATATCCATTAATAAGAACAACTTTTACAAGTGAGTGGTATTGACTTTTATTAAAAGTTTATCTTAAAATGTTTTAAATTATTTTTTGTACGAAAGAGTCATTTGAAAGTCCTGTTTTATAGGTTTTTAATGTCTTTTCTTCAACATTTAAAGCTACTGTCGGCGAGATCACCTATTAATTCCAGACAAAAAATATAAATTTCATTTTCATAAGAATTTTTTAATATATTTTATCTCATATTTTATATACACCCTCATATACGAATTTAAGTGCCTTTAAAATAAATGTATCTGAGGTGAATGTTCGGTAAATTTGGAAAGTTTAAATTAATTTTATGTTTGCAGTTAATAGTAGGCACTATTGTTTTAAATTTTTATATTTATATAAGTATAAACAAATGTTATTTTCTTTAAAGATAACTTACTACTACTATACCTACTTTCATAGGGTTGTATACATTTTATTTGTATATTTAATTTCCCTCCATCTAATAGAATTACGGAAACAACATTGCAACTTTGAAGTATTTTTACCATCCAGATAGTAAAACTACTTCTAGATATAATTGAAAATCCGTTTGTTAAAATAGCAACGTTCCGTTAGTGAGCTACACAGTGTGTTTTGCTTCTCTATAGAAGGAATAAACAGCATGGAACGTTGCTGCAGGCACAAACAAATCTGAAGGATTTCCTATAAGCGTTTGACGAGACACAAACCACACTATGTTACAATTTAGCGATATTTTAAAGCATGCGGCACGTTTTCTGCGTAGATCACGTGCGTCAACACCCGAGACCTGACACGGAGCCATATGTTTTTAAGTTGCAATCTTGCTACTGATAACGACATTATACATTCTATGCACATTGTATACAAATAATATTGTGATTATCTTCATCTTGTTCTAATGTGACTAATATATTAATATCAGATCGTAATTATATACCTAAGTACATATTCTATAGGTAATGAAGTAAGTTTTATTTAATTAATTTTTTGTCGGGTTAACTTTTTTATACAATACATATTCTCGTTAAGTATAAAATAAAAGTTATAAGTTAATGTATTCACATAAGTATTGAAATTGATACCTACCTATATATTAACCCTTTATTTATCTTTTATTTGTAGCTAAGAACATAATAAGAAACCAGATATCCTTACAGCACGTTCCTAATAAGAAACCAAGTATAATAATAGGCCCTTAGTTATATCTGCGTACCCTGTAAGAAATATGGTGCAAATATACTTATAAATTAATATAAGTAATCAATCAGCGTCATAATAATTAGGAAACGAGTAAAACACTTATTCCAAAATAATTTAAGATTTGGTTTCTACCAAAAATTACTTTATCGAAATAAAATTAATGTATATTCAATACGAGATAAACCCTATGGAAAATATCGGAACACTTCACCGTTTATGCATGCGATCTCTTTTATATAAATATTATCTTTTTAGTTGTTTTTGCTAATTATTCATCATTCATGTAACTTTAGCATGATTAGCGCACTTTTTAGCGGAAAATAATTGGGGTGCAGAACATACACGGCGAAGATAACGGTGTGTGAGCAAATTAAGTAAAATAACCACATGTGTATTAGCCATGTCGTAAAATTAACGAATGTATCCAAATTAATATTAACTCAGTAGAAATATGCATCGTAACTAGGACAATGTAACTGTCAGTTATATATTTAATTATTCGCATTGTGTGTTCATCAAAGCGAATGTTGCAGATGCAATAAGTATGTAAGCTACCACGAATCAAAACACTGATATTTTGTAGCCACATAATTGCATGCCAGTTATAAAATAAGTAGTGTAGTAATAACAAAGTATATACTAGGAGAACTATAAAGCAGCTTCTTTCTTGGCGTAATTTAGAAAGAAGAATCAAACATTATGAATGTAACTATTTGAATCATTGAAGAAATCAAATAAATACTAGGTATATAGTAATAATATATAAAAAAAATGTTATGAAGACAATCGTTTATTTCATAGATACATACATATTGATAAGTAAAGCTAGACCCTAGCTAAAGTTTCCTTGTAATGGGATTGTTATGAATAATAAGCTAGTATAGACAGAAACACAACTCTGTATTTGTAGAATGCGTTGTAACTAAAAATAAATGCCTCTTCTTAAGGAGGTGACTGGACTGCGGAATATGCACACACATTGTTGTCTTAAATAACTAGATAAGTTGAAGAATAAAATTAAAGTTAATTTAATGTTATCTTAAAAAAAAATTACAGCTATAATCCTAGATGAGGTAGTAAGAAGAATTACGAATAGAAATATTCGATTTTATTAATTTCAAGGGGTTTAATTTAAAACGTCGACAAAAGTTTGGTAAGGTCTAAGTGAACTTTTACAGTACAACGAGTTGATAAATTTTGTTTTCAACTAATTGCAAAAAGGATAAAATTTACAATTCGATACATAATAAAAATATCAATTTATTGTGTAAATTATGTGAAGTTTTAATCGATTGTGAACTGATTTAGAATTTATTTTTAATAAAAAAGAACTTCCCAAATAAAACTAAAGTTAATTTGTTGTAGAAGAAAATCTTAAATTGTTAATAAACTTCGAGGTATAAGATGAGAATTAAAATATAATTGTCTTTTAATATTAAATAAATAGGTGTAAATAATGTGAGTGTAAGTTACTTCAATTGAAGATAGGGACGCGATAATTATTTTGAATGACATTTGTTTTGCGTCATATACGAACATTTATAAGGTAAGAGATACACGTTCTGTAGCAAAACGCAACATGTTTCGTTAATTGCTTACAACAGAAGTTTACCAATTTGTCTGGAATATTAACCTCGCTCTGGTATGTATGGATATTATAATGGTAGCGACGAGCGTATTGCTAATAACACTGAGTACTCGCTTGTATACCTATCAAAATGGGCACCTACTGATGTTGTTTCGTAA